ACCCTCCAGTGCTTTGGGGAAGTACACCTTTCTGTCATTTACCTGACCGCCACGGGGACAATCTCAGAAAACCGCTTGGTCTTGCAAGTGGCCCAGAGAACACACCCAGTCACACAACCTAGTGAAACTCCATCTTGAAGACCGACTCCGTAGCTCAGCACACCGTCCCTAAAAACCACATCAGTTGTCTGCAGTACGAACGGGAGCTCTAGGCCTTCACTAAGTGATTTCTGACATCCCAGAAAACAAATAGCTTTAAATTCCTCAGCTGCCCCCTATTCCTCAGCTTTTATCAGTCTTTTTTAAACCCACTGCTTTGAAAGCATTCACCCTAACAAAATAAATGAAGCTTCATCTACTACACATTTATCTCATTTTATCATAAACAAGATTATCTCTGCAGAGTGGTATTTTGATAAATGTGTAGAATACAGTTCCTGTCACTAAACAGCCTTGTATATATTCCAGTTGAAGATTCAAAAGGGAATGTGCTTACCAGCTACACAGTCGTCTGTTTTAGGACCCAAGTAACCACAGCTTGAATCAAGTCCTTCCCCATCCCTCCTCCCAAATCCCAATTGTGGAGTACAGACACATTTCCATAACATAGAAGGATTTTATAAGTTAATTATAACCCAAAAAATAGAGGGGGAAAAAAAGCTCATTTTTCTCCCTTTTTAGCTAACAAAAGCTATGATTTTATGGGAAAGCAATGAAAACACGAGATAAGTGTCTCTGCCGTGGATTAGCAGAAATGCATAAGGACATTCCACTTTCTACGCCAACATTAATTAGTGCCCCGCTCCAACGTCTTCTCGCCTTTGTTTTAATTTAAATGTAAATCCAAGCGAATGTTATATTTTAGATCCTCTCCACATTCTTATTGACAAATAAGATAAGAGGAACATATCAGCAGAGACTAGGTCTTTCCACAAGCCAACTGGCAGCATGATACTGCATAATTAATATAGGATAAAGATTATTATGGGATAAAGCTAAAAAGCCCTAATGGAAACATTCGGATAAGGAAGAGAAGATCAAGGGGGATATGAAAAGAGACATACATCCTAACTAGGGTCTAAATGACAAGTTCTTACACCTCCTTGGTGACTTTGATTCAGTGAACATTTATTGAGCACCAACTGTTGGCCATGCTCTGCTAGGTGCAGGGGATACAAATATTAAGACAGAATCACTGTCATATCCTTGAGAGTTTGGGTATTCTCTGGCTACAAATGTGGTACTCACTCTTAAGTTATATCGGTACATAAAGCTGATCCTGCACCATGCAAGAGAGGAGGTGTTAGCCTTAAATTGCCATTTAAATTTCAGTTCATACCAGGCACATCTCGAATGCTCACTAGCCATATGTGGATAGTGGTCACCAGTCGTATCGGACATGTGTGCATCAATACATATAGCTAAGAGACAGATAAAAAGAAAACGTACATCATCACAGAACCTTCCTCTGTACAGACTCGGCTGAGACACTAAGTCCCTGATCTCTATCGCTTACCAATCCTACAAACTAAGGAAATCATTTAGTTAGCCTATGAGTCCTGTTTTGACATGGATGCAACTAAAATTCCTTCAGTAAAAGAATGGCTAAACAAACTGTAACCTATCGATACAGTGGAATGCTATGGAACAATTGAAAAAAAAACACAATAGGTAAACCTGTACTAGCACACAAAGATCTCTACAACTTATATTGGTAACATGTTGGATTAAGAAATATACAATGTGGGGCACCTGGGTGGCTCAGTGGGTTAAGCCGCTGCCTTCGGCTCAGGTCATGATCTCAGGGTCCTGGGATCGAGCCCCGCATCGGGCTCTCTGCTCAGCAGGAAGCCTGCTTCCCTTCCTCTCTCTCTGCCTTCCTCTCTGCCTACTTGTGATCTCTCTCTGTCAAATAAGTAAATAAAATCTTAAAAAAAAAAAAAAAAAAAAAAAAAAAAAAAAAGAAATATACAATGTGATACCATTTGGGTTAAAACACAGTCATACCAAAATGTACCACATATTCTAGAGACCTACCTTGAATACACAAATACACAACAACAACAACAATAAAAGTACTGACCTAACAGATATGTAGTTATTCTTACTGTGGTGCCCAAAGGGGATCTAGCCCATATAATACATGTATATAAAAATTAAAACAAGCTACTGGAGGATAAGGTCTTAATATTTCCTTTACTTAGATAGTGAGTTTAATTGGCACACCAACTATACTTTCCAGATATGGATAAAAGTGCTCTGAGATAAAATGTGTAGTTTTTTGTATCTAAAGATTCTATGCTGGGGGCGCCTGGATGTCTCAGTGGGTTAAGCCTCTGCCTTCAGCTCAGGTCATGATCTCAGAGTCCTGGGATCAAGCCCCACATCGGGCTCTCTGCTCAGCCTGCCTCTCTGCCTCCTTGTGAACCCTCTCTCTCTGTCAAATAAATAAATAAAATCTTGAAAAATAATAATAATAATAAAAATTCTATGCTGGAGAAGAGTTTACAGTTTATGTCATAATTCATAAGTTTTTGAAGTTTAAAACCCACAGAGTAAGCAAACATGGTTATCATGAATTTGAAAACAATCTGTGATTTCTGAAATTGAATCAGTTCTCCCCTGTGCTCAAAGTTATTCATGCACCAGCCAATTTGGGGGGTTGGAGGGGGAAGAGCGGGGGCAGGGAGGTATAAGAGACTCAGTTCCCATCCTCAAGCAACCTGCAGACTATGGAAAGGCACACACTCAGAAAGATCTTAAAACATAATGGCATACAGGTAATGGACTGGAAGTGCAGAAGGATACAAGAGCATATAGCATATGGAAGGGGAGTAGGAATCAAGTAGATAAAATGTGTGTTGTGGGGAAGGAGGCAATGATTCAGGCAAAGGATATAGGTAGGAGTGTGGAGATCAAAAGAAACATAAATGCCCCCACTTGGACGTGGGTAGTGTAGTTAAAAGAGAGGAGGGAGACTGAGTCAGACTACGCAAGGCTTCATCAGCCATGGTAAAGAACTTGGATTTTATTTTAAAGATAGTGGCAAGTCATTGGAGGGCAGTTTTAAATACGGCAGTGATGTGATGAGTTTCTGCTTTTGTAGAAGACTGCGGCACAGAAAATGGGAGACAGGAGGACAAGCTTGGCAGGATATAATGGGAGCCCTAGACTGCGGGTGACGGCAGCACAGACAATCTAAGACAGACCGAGGAGACAAAATTGGTGCGGTTTGGGCTCAATTAATGGAGAAAATAAATATGCTCGACTGTACCAGTGGGAGAGACAGGAACTTAGCAAATTTCTTTGAAATGTCTTTTTTTGGGACCCCTGGGTGCATCAGTCAGTTAAGAGTCTGCCTTCTGCTCAGGTCACGATCCTCAGAGTCCTAGAATCGATCTCCATCAGGCTCCCTGCTCAGCGGGAAGCCTGCTTCTCTCTCTGCCCGTCCTCCTGCTTATGTGTGCACGAGTGCACTTTCTTTCTCTCTCTGACAAACAAATAAATAATACCTTTTAAAAAAACAAGCGTCTGTTTTTTTTAAGGTTAAAAATCTTCATCTTCTTTTACAGATCCACAATCCTTTACCTGTGACCCCCAAATCCAAAAAGCTCTGAAAACGGACAGGACTTCTGTATAATGGTGGCAAAACCTGATTTTATTTAACATGAGCTTCTAATTCTTGCCCTATTCCATTCTGCAAGAATATTCTCTGTACTTCATTGTAGAATAGAAATATTAGCATCTGTGACTCAGGGATACAACTGGAAAAGACATTTGGTTTGTGAGGGAACAGATGCTGTCTGTACTATGCTACCTTTAAAAAAATCTGAATTCAGCAACGCATTGGGCCCCCAGGGTTCCTGTGAGGAACTGTAGATGATAAGTTGGCCATAGTCACTTCCCAGTTTTCACAGTGATACACACTACTTTAGGACCACACAGACCATACATCTGTGCCTGTGTTGGTCAGGGAGGCGGGTATGGGCCAGTCAACTATCATTCTTGATTGTGTGATTCTCAAGTCGCGAATGCATATGTAAATTCTAATGGCTGACTTTTAGACACGCATCAAGTGAGATGGGAAGCATTCATGTTCAGGGAGTTTTCATGCCACTGAGGAGAAAAGTGCTACAGGCCTTCACCTCATGTATCTCTTCCCCGGGGGACCGATACTTGTTTCTAACAAGATGTGTGCTACAAGAAGCCAAGGGCGTCAAAAGGAATCAATCCCAGGCCTCGACCTACAACCCGTCAACATTCTTTTTTTTTTTTTTTTTAAACAAACCCACTGGCACAGCACTCTGCTAGGGGACTCGGAAACAACAAATAAATGACATGTGATCCCAGACTGTTCTCAGGGAAGTTGCTCCAAAGAAGATGTTTTATGAATGTTTGTTAAAATAGTAAACTAGGGGCACCTGGGTGGCTTAGTCCTCTGCCTTCTGCTCAGGTCGTGATCTCAGGGTCCTGGGATCGAGCCCCACGTTGGACTCTCTGCTCAGCAGGGAGCCTGCTTCCCCCTCTCTCTCTGCCTGCCTCTCTGCCTACTTGTGATCTGTCAAATAAATAATAAAATCTTAAAAAAAAAAAAAAAGGAAACTAGAAATTCAGAGAATATTAGTGTGTGGAAAAAATCAAAAACTAATCACTTGAGTTGAGAGCTTGAAATCAGGGAGAAAAGTGTATCTACAGAAGCAAGAGTTTCAATGGATAAAATTTGGAGAGAAAGGAGGAGAAGAAAGAAAAAAAAGATCAAAGCATACCTTCCTGATTGTCTAGTAACAGAACTCCCCATTGGGACCGCTTGAGAAATATCATTAATAACTTACCTTATTCACCAAGCAATGTGTGGAGTTGCAATGACATTCACTTTTGGAGCAAAACTAACCTGCAAGCAGCCTAGTTTTCCTTGCATTGTGAAGACGGGAAAGCAAGGAGGCTGGTGGTGGTTTTACGTACTTTTGCAAGAGTAGAGAAACTGACCAGAAAGGTCTTACCTTCAACGCAAGAAGGCTGAGCCCGAGTTGTACCTGCAACCTGCCCTGGGAAGCAGGAGCACTTGACTGTTTGTGATCGCTCTTCTATGCGATTCTTGTTACAGCACCTGTGGACAGCGACCACCTCACAGGTCCCTTGCTTGATCTGGTGGTGACCTGATGGATAAAACAGACCCACTGCCGTTAGCGAAAAATGAAGCTGCAAAGTATGTGAATGATACCATGACCACATTTTCCAGCTTCCTGCCCCATGCTTAAGAATCTTGGTAACTTTTTATTTTGATGTCATTTCAAATATATATTAAGGTGCTAAGAATAGTGCAAAAAATTTCTAGAAACCTGTGGTGGACAGAAATTCAGCCACCAGGACCTTCAACCCCTGGTATCAAACCCATTATGTTACATGCCAAAAGAGATTTTGCGGATATAATTTAAATCACTAGCTAGGGACACCTGGGAGGCTCAGGTCATGATCTGGTGGGTCTGGGACTGAGCCCCACATCGGGCTCCCTGCTCAGCAGAGAGTCTGCTTCTCCCTTTCTCTCCTTACTCGTGTGCATGCATGCTTTCTCTCTCTCTCAAATAAATAAAATCTTTAAAAAATAAAATAAAATAAAAATAATTACTAACTGGTTGATCTTAAGAGAAGGAAATTGTCCTAGATTGTCCAGGTACACTAACGTGCTCAACCTGAACTCTTAAAAGCAGAGAGGGCAGGAGGGGGAGTCAGACTGAAAACATGAGGAGGATTCAAGCACCACTGCTGGCTTAAAGATCTGGGGGTCAGAAGGGAAGGAAATGGTGACATCAGTCCTACACCCACAAGGAACTGAGTTTGGCCAACAAGCAGATTCTTCCACAGAGCTTTCTTAAAAGAATGCAGGCCTGCTGACACCTTGATTTTAGCCCAGAGGTCAGACTCTGAGCAGAAAATCCAGCTACACTGTGCCAGACTTCTGACCTAGAGAAACAGGCCACTAAATTTGTGGTCATTTGTCACAGCAGCAGTGACTAAGATCTTTTATCCAGATTCACTATTGTTAACACGTGACCCTCTTTGTTGCGTCAATCACTCTCTTTCACACATCTTTCTGAGCCATTTGAGAGCAACCTGCAGACATGATACCCCTGCCCCTTTACTAATACTGCAGTGGGTATTTCCTAAAAACAAAAGCATTCTCTTACATAATTACCAAAATTAGGATATTTGACACTGATACGATGTTATTTACATGATGCTATTTCATGATCTCAGTTTTGCCAGTTGTCCTAATAACGTCTTTCCTAGCCATTATTCCCCTTGTGCAGGATCCAACTCAGGGACCTACATTGTATTCGGTTGTCACATCTCTTTAGACTTCTTTAATCAGTAAGTATTTTTTGGCCTTAATCTTTCTTAACCTTAACAACTGTCAAGAATACATGGCCGTTATTTTGTAGAATGTCCCTCAGCAGGTCTAATGGCTCCAGTCAAAGTCTTCAAAGACTCCAACCCCAGCCAACAGCTTAACTGCAGTCTGATAATCCTGAAGCAGGACCACCCAGCTAAGACACTCCCAGATCTTGAACACGCTGACGGGACTATGTCAAATTGTATATGTTGATTGTTTTCAGCTTTTACGAATTGGGCTACTTTGTTACACAGCAATAGATAAATAATCATCTGTCTGTAACAGGATTGGAGAGACTTATCTTTGCTCCAGTAAAAACTACGTAAACAAGGTTGTGGAGGCAATGTTTAGAATTTATTAATAAAAGACAACCTCTTCAAGCACCTTCAATTGTCACATATGCTATTTACCTATAAATTGTTCCATGAATTACAAGCAATCTCATCTCCTCATTAAAAAAGTTTCCCCAAAGATTCCCAGGGACTAATGCTTTGCTTGCTTTCTGTTGTTCGGTGTATGTACTTCAAATCACAAAACAAGTTGAAAGATCTGAATTATGGAATATTTGTTATTGATAAAACTAGGCCTTCCACACAACAACCTCTATATTATTCTGAAAAACTTCCAGCCTTTTTCCTTTGTTAACTGTGGGTGGAAGAAAAATTCAATCACTGGCTAGAATGACTACTAAGGCAAAGTGTCCTTTGTTTTTTGTTGTTGTTGTTGTTGTTTTTAAGATTTTATTTATTTGACAGAGATCACAAGTAGGCAGAGAGGCAGGCGGGGGTGGGGGAGGAGCAGGCTCTCCGCTGAGCAGAGAGCCCAATGCGGGGCTCGAACCCAGGACCCTGGGATCATGACCTGAGCTGAAGGCAGAGGCTTTAACCCACTGAGCCACCAAGGCGCCCCACAAAGTTTCCTTTGTAAAACACAGAGAAGCAGAAATTGTACCCAGAGAATCAAACCACCATCCGGAGAGGACGTTTTCAATGTACTATAGAAGAAAGCATAAAGTGATTAAAACTATAAACCTAATTAAATATACACAACAAGAATGCTGATTTCCCACACGTAATTGGATACACTAGTAAAAAAATAAATAAAAATACATTGTAATTACAATGTCAGGAAAGTAGGGTGCGCCTTTGGTGCTGAGTAAGCAGAACAGCGAGAACTGGGAAGAGTTCAAGAGGAGACCCTGTCTCTAATTTCCAATAACAAGTAAGCACCTTTTTTTAGGTCAAATGTTCCCTGAATGACTAGCCATGTGGTGGGGGGCCCGGGTGGAGTCATCCTCCGTCCTCCAACAGTGCCTTCCCCTCCCTGCTGGCCACTGTCACAGTTTGCTCAGCTGCCACAGCAAAGGACCACTGGCTAGGTGGCTTAAACAACAGATCAAGGTCCTGGCCAATTCAGTTCCTGGTGAGGGCGCTCTTTGCAGCTTGCAACAGCCGGTGTCCTCTATGTCCTCACGTGGCAGGGACAGAGTGCTCTGCTGTCCCCTCCTTTTCTTCATAAAAACACCAGCTCTTCCAGATTAGGGCCCCTTGCAGATGACCTCATTTAACCTTGAATTCCTCCTCACAGACTTACAGTCTTATCTGGGAATTAGTGCTTTACAATAAGAAGTGGGTGGGGGGCAGCAAATATTCAGTCCATATACCAGCCATCCTGCATGACTTAGATATTCAAAGACCCTGGGGAGTCATGAAGGTGGCACTAAACCCCATTAAGAAAATAAAATAAATGCATTTTAGTAAAAGAACAATTGAGAAGTGATTGGGACATTCATTAATATTATAGACGGTGTAGGATTTTGCTGCTATATAACAATCCACAAATGCAAACAGATTTTTCCCCTACTCTAATATGTCTGAATAATCAGCTTGTGTGGTCTAGGATTTTCACTTACATAATACTGACTATGGTACTTCATTGATTTTTAAGACATAATGTTTTTCTCATAACTTTAACATTTCAGGTCTCACAACTGATAGCATCTGGTCATTGTAATTGGCAATGCTTTTCTTTCTTAGAAATACACAAAATAGCAATGTATCTCACAACTGATGGCATCTTAGGTTTGATGAAATAGGGTAGGCAGCAGGCACTGTTTTATATCTTTTACAAATACTATTCTGTGTGATCTTATAAAAATGCTACGATGTAGGTACTATTTTTATTCCTTTTGTACATTAAAAAAAAAATGTACAAACATTAATTTGCCCTAAGTCACACACCTAGAAACTGAAGAAGACAGATGCAAACCCAGGCAGTATCTATACTATCATAGAATGCAGGGGAAAGAGAGCAGCCCATATTTTACTAAGGGGAGGCAAAATAGCATCTCTACTGCAGCAAACCACAAGACATGGCTCAGTTTCCCACTGAAAACAACTTTCCTACAAGATGAGAGTTTTTGTGGGACTCCATAAAGACACTATTGCTAGTCATTCCTCTACTATTGACACTGGACTGTGGTCTTAGAATGTGCCTCATTTCTTTGTAATCTACAGTTCTCGGCGCAGGAGGTTAAGTATTCAGAAGCAAGTACTTAAAAGTGCTCAAGGAATGACGGCAGAAGACAGGGGTACATTGTGGGCTACCAAGCACAGAAAGCACAGATTATATACTTGGCTTGAATAGTTCATCCTCTGCTAGGGTTCTCCAAAAAGAAAGCACATGAAGCAGGTATATACACATAAAGAGATTTATTGTAAGAAACTGCTTCACGTGATTACGGAAGCTGAAAAATTCCAAGATTTGGAGGATGAGTCAGCAAGATGGAGACTCTGGGGAGCCAAAACTTCAGTTCCAGTCTGAGTTTGAGACCCAGGAAAGCCAATGTTGTCATACTAGTTGAAAGACTGGCAGGTTCAAGATTCAGAAAGAGATGATGTTTCAGTTTCCAAAGGCAAGAAAAGACTAATGTCCCAATCCAAAATCAGGAAGAATTCTCTCTCTCAAGGTCAGTCTTTTTGGTGAACTGAGGTCTTCAGCTGATTGGATAAGGCCCACCCACATTAGGGAAGGCAATCTTCTTTATACAGTCGATCAATTCAAATGCTAAACTCATCCAAAACACCCTCAAAGAAACACACAAAATAACGTTTGATCAAACATCTGCGCACCACGTGGCCCACTCAAGTTGTCATATAAAATCGATCACCATAAACATCATAGAACTATGTAATGTAGTCGTAACGGGATGGGGGCACGGAATGAAAGTTTTTAAAAGAGACAAGAAATTAATGGCTTTCATGGTAAACTTAATTCTCTGGAAAGGTACAAGAGGGATGCTTGTTCAGTAAGATTACTACCAAAGAGTGGCCACTGCACGTAAATTCACTTAAACACCTCTTTTTTCAGCAGCAGGAAACATTTTGATCCAACTTGAAAGCTAACGCTAAACACATGTGAGTATTAAGAGTGAGAGATGGTAGCTCAAACTTCTCATATGGGACTTACCTGACAGGCGTGAATTAAAATAGGTAAGGTAAGACTAAGTTATCCAAAAGTAGAGCTGCTCTCGGAAGCAAAACTGGCTCAAGAGAAAACAAAACATTATCCCCTTTGCACTATCTCTTCATCTCTGTCAATTGCTGGGCCATTTCTCCTCCGATTTGCCTGGGTAGGTGGAAGGGAGGATATTAATTTCTATTTAACCAACACTTCAATAGTGTACTATGCACAAGACACTGTTCTCCGTGCTCCTGGAGACATAGAAGTGGGGAAATTTAAAATTGGTACTTGATTCCTTTCCAC